AGAGAGAGAGAGAGAGAGAGAGAGAGAGAGAGAGAGAGAGAGAGAGAGAGAGGAGAGAAGGAGGGAGAAAGAGACAGAAAAATAAGAAGCAAAGAGAACTTCATAAAAAGTTACTTAGTGAAATAATCAAGTTATCAGTTAAATAAACAAAATAAAAAATTAGAGGAATTACAAATAAAAAATTTTGATGATATCCAATCAAGAGAATGTTTTAAGGCCTATATACAAGTGTAATAGTGTAATCAAACAAGAAACTTGAGACTGTGATTTATGTAGTTGACAAGTACACTGTAAAAACTGATGTGTTAAATTTAACATTTTATGTGTTCTAAATCATCCACTCTCATTTATGTGTAAATTTACACAAAACAAATGTGGTAAAAAGTAACATACATAATATGGAAAAAATTAATACAAGAATTTAACACTTGAATATCGTCAGGAATTACAGTTTGTGTTAAATTGACATATATATAATGTTAAATTAACTAAAATAAAATGTTACTTTAACACTTGAGAGAAGTATTAATCTATGGTTTTGATGAAATAAAAATGTTAAATTGACATCTATATTTGACATATTAAATATGTCAATTTAACACAACCTGTGATTCCTAACGGTATTCAAGTGTTAAATTCTTGTGTTAATTTTTTCCATATTATGCGTGTTACTTTTTAACACATTTGTCTTGTGTTAAATTTATACATAAATGAGAGTGGATAATTTAGACATATAAAATATGTTAAATTTAATACATCAGTTTTTACAATGTATGAAATTTATCAGTCAAAATATCCAAAACGTTTCGATCCTTCTTTTAAGAATCCTTTATTTTAAGCTTCTAATAGACTCCTTCTCTAATCGAAAACGAACAGAGAGAAAGAAAAACAAAAACGCGAAACACTGCATTTCTTGATCGCAGACACTGAGGCGGAATATCGAAGAGAATTCGCGATTATTCGACGAAAAAGATTCGCACAGACGTCGGGGTTTAATTTTATGCTCGTCGCGTTCCCCCGTTTGCCTCGCGTCCCACTTCGTCGCTGAAATTTCCGCCGCGCATTATAAATTTCGTCCCGTCCGGCAGCGCGACAATTGCAGATTGCAGCGGACGGGGAATCAATTTTTTAGACGCAAATCGCGCGCAAGAGCTTGCCATGGCGTCGCGCATTATAATTCAAGATGGACGATGTATCAGCGATGCTTAAGCGAATAATGTCGGCCCACTGCGCGGCGTATCGTTCCGCGAGATAGATTGCGAAGTCGCGTGCTAAAATTGTTCCGCCCGGTAACGTCGCAAATGCAAAATACGTAATACCCCTCTGTCGTATGCAGCGTGCTTCTTTCGGATATTTCAACAAATGCGTACCGCTCGCTCGCTCGCTCAAACGATATTAGTTTTGCGGAAGATAGAACGCGACTCGGCAGCGAGACGATTGTGGATGCCCTCCGGGCGGAAATAACAGGCAAAAATCGAAAACTCGTGTCAGGACAGCGACGTTGCGCGACTAAAAGATGTAACTGGGCCTCGCGTGTTTGGACGTGTTATTTCCCACGGGGTCGGAACGGAGGGCAGAAGAAGGAGAGAAACTATGCGCCGCGATGGAATATCTCATCGATCTGTTAAAAATCCTTTTGGGACTCTTGAAAGATTCCACTTCTCTCTCACACGATCCTGATAAGGATCTTCGATGCTTTCTTTTTCTCTCTCTCTCTCTCTCTCTCTCTCTTCCCCTCTCTCTCCCTCTCTCTACCTTTCTCTTTCTCTATGCTGTTTGATATCTGCCGATATCTGTTCGATGTAGTAATGGATAACGAGCCCCAGCAATCAATCATTCTCTTTCGTGCGACCGGAATAATATACAAAATGTTACTCACGCTCAGATCCTGCAGATTCACGCAAGTCGTGTAATTGCTCCATATCTGATTAGATTCGGGATGTCGAAACCATGTGCCGTTCAATTCGCAGTACTTGTGCGCCATCACTGTAACGAAAAAAATAAGAATTTTCGAATGAAGCGCGTACATATTCAGAAATATGTTCTGCTGCTCCAGATAGAATTCTAAATGTCTCAGTTAAAATTTATCGCTGCTTTTTGTATCTGTTAGAAAATTGTCTGTGGTGGAATTTACGGCAGCAACATTTCAGCGGTCTTTGCAAGCAATTTAGACGAGTGTGAGGATTACACATTCGTTATTAGTCTTTCTTGTGTATCACAGTCACTTTCATGAAATATGTAAACCTTAATTTAAATGAGCGTTAGAGAGATGTTTTTGCCAAATTTTATAAATAGTTCAGATATAAATTCCGTGTCTGTTATCTATATTGATTAAATGCAAAACATATGCAATGTCACACTGTTTCCTAATCATTTATCTATCTTAACTTTAATTTCTCGTATCTAGATAATAGATCGCTATGACTGCAAGATCATATTTTTAATATATAATGTAACATTAGCATCGTCAACTTTGTTGATTTGTAATCACGAACTTTGATTTTTAATTACGAACTTTAGTAATATTTATGTAATATTTACATATACTATATTTAAGTAATATTTGTGATAATGTTTTATTCCTTACTCTAATATTTATTTATTTTTTACATAATTCGGGTGGAAATTATGCAGTTTTAAATCAATGTTATAAGACATTTAATAATGATATGAATTTTTCGCCGATGTTTGCGATAGAATTATTAGGTCGTAGGATTCCCAAGAATTTATTATACTGTCATGTTTCGTTCATATCGGAATCGATCAATGAAGGATGATCAATTATGTTTAGTTATATGATTAATGAGACACTTCGCGTATTTAACTCGTCAGATCACGATCACGGGTTCATTGTTTTGCGGAGTATCAAAGTTGCAAATGGAGGAATTGGCTGATGACAATCGAAAACATTCGCTATCATTACCAACCATTAATAATGTAGGGAAAAACAAGCAAGCGAGACAATTGAACGCAAGAATCCAGAAAAGAGAATAAGCTGAAAAGTGAGTTACGTGATTTCAGAGGAAGGAAATTCACCGGTGGCTTCGCGTACCGGCCTGATGTTGACGTGCACCCGTCGAGACGCACGTAGAGACGGAAATGCAAAAACATTTTCCGTACGAGGAAATGCGTAGTCATCCGTTAAGTCACGCTCGTTTCTTGTCGAAGCTCGTTTAAAGTTCCTTTTCCAACACGGAGACAACAAGGTAATTTAAAATTTTCCGATGAGAAGGGTTTGCAAAAACTGTGCCGGCAGCATCTCAACGCCAAGAATCGAAGGAGTCGACATCACTTCGTAGGAGCAGGAGAAGGAGGAGGAGGAGGAACGGGGTAAGGAGAAGTGGGATCGGAGGGATTATACACCCCGCAGATCCAGTTTGATAGTTTACAAATAAAACAAAACCGAACTTAAAGCCGTTTCCATGAGACGTCGCCTGATTAAACTTACCTCGGGGAAGGAAAAATGAAACTCCCGAGACTAGCGTCCTCGGCTCCTCGCGCTCCTTTTAATATTTTGCTTTGCGCCGTTCTCCGCTCTTAATTAGTCGATAAGATTCGACGTAAATATCCACGTTGTGCGCAAATAGCCTGTTAATCAGTGCGCAATTACGTTCCCGTTCGCCGTCCGTGACGTCTCTCCGATTTTCGTGAAATTTCACGGATGGGATAATGCGCTCGATGCTTGGGATGAAATCGCGCACTACCATCGACATAGGTACAAAAATCGAATCAAATTAGATCAGCAGAATGTCGCGTGCGAAGAGATGCAATTCGACAAGCTATTAATCGAAGATTGAGAAAATTGATTAATGAACAAAAATACCGAACGCAAAATCCTTGAATGTAAAGAATAAGTATTACTTATTTGCGTTGTCATTTTGAATATGAGTAAATAAATGGCGCGCACCCAAACAAAAAGATGTAATCTCATCCTTAACGGAATCCTTTGAATCTTAGAGGATTTTACTCTTATGGCTTCAAGAGGATTCTTCTTCAAGAGAGAAGGGAAATATTCTAAGCACAACATTCTTAAAGTTTCTTCTTTAGAAGAATTTTGTCTTTTACCTACACAGTATTAAGTTCTTATAGTGCATGAGAAGGTATTCTGCTTCAAGTAAACATATTTCTCTTGATTTAAAAAAGGAGGAGAGAATGATATCTAGTAGATTTGCGATTAATAGAATCCACTTTTAATGAGCGACGATAACGGTGAAGAGTAATTCTTCAAAACAAGTAACGCGGCAACGTTAACGGATTGTGTTCCAGAAGTAATTTTTCCAACACTAGAAGGGTGTAACTTATAACAGTGGTAGAGTTGTAGGTAACATATTACTTCGCAACCCTATTGTACTTGTCGGCTTATGTCACTGTTATTTTAGGTCGCGAGCCATAATTTTCTTGCTGTTTTCCTTTTGGGAAATTCTGGTCGGAAAATAGATCGTCAATTCGACAACGTTTTGCACTGTCAAGCGTATTATCGACAGTTTTATTCAATAATTTATTCGTTTCTACTTAGCCTGTCCTTCAAAGTTTCAGTGTTCTTGCTCATTAAGGGAATGTCAAAGAGGATGACGAATTTCAAAAATATCAATAATGTAGAAGCGGTCATCCCTCATACAATCAGGAACGCTACCCCTTTCATACTTCTTGTACGTACAGATCTTATATGAATGTGCTGCTTTGTTTTACTATATTTTTAGTGGAAATCATACGTAAATCATGTATATATATACAGGATGCGGCGCCAAAATCCGGATAAATTACACATTTTTTCCAAACATATTTTTTATTGCAAAAACGAAAAGGTTTACAAAATTTTTTTAATCACATTGTTTATAAGGCCATAAAGAACACATTTACTCAATATACACCCGCTTGCTTGAATGACCGCCTCCATTCTCGGTCTGAAGCGTGCGCAGGCGCGCTTTAATGTGTCACGGTCCATATCGGTGAATGCCACTTCAATAGCGGCTCTCAATGATGCGACGTTTGGATGTCTGGACTTGTTCGTCACCCTTTCAACTATACTCCATACATAGAAGTCCAAAGGATTCAAATCTGGGCTGTTGGGAGGCTAGAATTATTTCGACCAGAACATGTCGACGTTGTCCGACAACCAATTTTGCACCAAATGACTCACTTTAATTGTGTAAGACTTGTAGCGGAGGTCCTCCTCGACGATTCGACGCATAGTTTTCTCGCTCACACCAACAATCGACGATAATTTTCAGATCGACTGTCCTGGATCCTCAAAAATCAGCTCCTGAGCCCGTTGAATGTTGTCGGACGTCCTGACAACGCGCTCCTTCGAGTGGGTTTTCTTCGCCGGTGTTGCAAAACCTTCGTTGGACTTCTCTGACTCATTGTACTTTGCGATGACATCATACACAGTCGATCTCGGGTACCCGAAGAACCGAATGATTTCTGTCGCCGAGCGCCCAGCGCGAACATTTTCGATAATCGCGGCTCTTCGGTTATACTCCGCACTTGGTTTCAACATTGCGACTGTTTCGAGGTTATGATGGTTTAGTACATGTAGTCACGTCAAGCTATTTGAACGCTAATCACGACATCTACCAATGGTATAGAACGGTGAGAATTTCAAATTGAATTTTGTCCGGATTTTGGCGCCGCACCCTGTATATATATATATATATGAGGTGTTTGATGATAATATGTTAATCTTTCGTATACGTGTAGATCAGGTAAACAGTTGACCAAAAAATTCTTCTACCATTTTTGCAAAAAATCACGTAAAAAATTTAGTTATTAATCAAAAAAGATTGACGAATGATCGCGTGTGATAATGCGAGTGGAGTGCAATACTTACATAGAACAAATATCCGAAATACATCTCATGGACATCCTATAGATATCGTGATATCTATATTTTGGATATTTGTTCTATGGGGTAGAGATGTTGCCTAGACTGCGCCAATCAGCGTTCTCAGCTCTCCACTCCCTTTAGCGACTATCATCGTTCAACGCTGAACGTTCGAGCATTTGAAACATCACATTTCTAGTGTTTTCGTTCATCAGCATATTACCTCGCTCAAAGCGCCAAATACTGCCAGGTAGCGCACAGTGCGAATGACAGCACATGGGTTTGCTTACGCGTTACGGCCACTAATTCGAAAACAATTGCGTGGGAAAGCGCATCATAATGGTTGGTGCGGTGCGCGATTAATTTTCCGAGTCGCACGCACAGAAGCGAAGCGACGCAGAAATGTCTTCGACGCGGATGCAAATAACACGGGGAGAGATGACATTTCTGGCTGTGCAAATACGTACGCAGCGCTCGCGACGCAAGTGGGTGAATAATGAAACGTAACTCATTCCAGCCTTACAACAGAGTTTAGAATATGCGACTCTTGGGGTAATTCATCCGGTATGTGTATGAAGCCTGGTCGACGCGCTACATGTGTGTAGAGCGTGTCCTCAATAGCGGTGCCGCTCAAGGCATTTCGCCTTCGAGGAAAATCAATTTTCCGAGATATATGTATATGTATATTCTCAACTATACGTGACCGCGCCGTGCGCGCGAGCAATTTAACCCATTAAAGCCCACCGGCAATTTTGGTTGCCTCAATTATTTTCGCGTTTGGCCACGTTCACGCTGCAATAGCTGCTGCAGTTCCCCTTCTTGCGCGAATATCCCGGAAATCAACAAGAGCACACCGCGACGGATAATCTACGGTGAAGGCACAGCGATTGTGGCAACAACCGATTTGCAGCGCGGTCTTGCCGAAGAGGAAATCAAGCGAACATCGGTGATGAGTGGAAATCTTGGAACGTATCTCGAGCGCTTCCCGATATGCTGTGTGAGCTTTACCTTCTCGTCTCGTCGTGTTGTCCGATAGTGCGACACGGTGTCCATGCTTCATCGGGACGATTGATACGTTGTTTCACGTTAATTATTCATCAGACGATTGAATATACGACAATTATTATTGTTAGTCTTTCTCCTTTTCGAGTCGCCATCCCAA